TATATAATATATATATATATATATATATATATATGTATATATGCATGTATATATGTATATATATGTATATATGCATGTATATATGTATGTATGTATATATATGTATGTATGTGTATATGTATATGTATATATACATATAGATATACATACATATACACATATACATACACATGCACATATTCATATACATATACATATATGTATATATGTATATATATATATATATGTATATGTATATACATATATATACATGTATATACATATATATACACAAGTAAACAACTTATAAGTGGGTAGCTTAAGGCAATCTGGCAGGACTAAACCCAATGTGAACCATGTTGACCATGTGGATGGAGATACTAATCCTGAACCACAAGTGGGGTGAATAACTTTTCTTTAGATTGTGGTCACTTTTTTATTTTTTTTCGAATCCTTTCTTTTCTGTAGTTGGGAGTCCTGGATTTCAAATTTTTTAAGAAGTTATTTTTGTACATTTGAGGTACAATCAACCGTATTAGATAGGATATTAAGTTTTTACCCTAGTTCTTCATGGTTTCACGTGTGTGAAAAAATTAAATATATAGGCCTCCACAACTGTCTAGATGTGGAGGCCTATATATTTAATTTTTCTGTGAAAAGGAAATTGCTGTGAAAAGAGTTTCAATCCATGTGAAAATATATAGGCCTCCGTAACTATTGGGATGTTTCAATCCTTCTGAAATGGTTTCTGAAGTTGTTTTTATGTTTTGTTTGTATCATTTCAATTTTCATATGAAATACCACGTTGGTTGGATTGCATTACTTTGTTTATGTTAGAGGACTTTCATTTTTAAGCAATACTGATAAATGCATCCTATCTGGACTGTGGGACTTGGTAACTAATTCTTAAGCAAAGATTTGTACATCTAAAGATGCGTTCAAGTGCTTCTTAGGATAGCACTTGAACGCATCAGAGTTGGCTGAGCCAACTCATATCCAAACGCATCAGGTTTAAAAAGTTGAGCAGGACAACGTTTTCTAAGGATGGATTGAGCAGCTCAGTTTCCTTATATGATTCTTTGGAGCAACTGAGGATTTAATCGATTTACTCGAGCCTAATGGATTTAATCGATTTGTTCACACGATAGCATCAAAGGTATGAACCAATCTTGTGCCATTGTCGGATCTAGGGGCGTTGTGGATGGGGTCAGCTCGTGTGCGGGGGCTATCAAAGGTCAGCTAGTGCATGGAGGAGGGCAGATTATGGGGCTAACCCGTGTGAGGCTTTGTGCATGGAGGAGGAAAGATTATGGGGCTAACCCGTGTGAGGCTTGTGACCAAGAGAGGACGAGCGAACAAAAATGCAAAAGACCAAAAGGGGAATAATTTGAAAGAAAAAAAAGAAGAAAGGTACTTACGGGTGCTCTATAATTTTTTTTTTTAAAAAACTTATGATATTTTTTAATAACTCACCTCTTTTTTTCAATGAGAGATTTTGATTCTGAAAACTCTATTAGAAAATAACTGATTATTTGTTATATTTTTTTAAAAAATCAATATTTTAAAATATAAAAATAATTAAAACTTTTAAATTATTTGTTATATTTTAAATTATTATTAGAACTTTTAAAATTTATTTTAGAAAAATTACATTTTTGAAAATGAGATGCAGATTTTGTGATAGAATTTGTGGTTTTTGTTTTTGCTGTTTGTTTTATATGTTAATTTTCTTTCCTGTTATGCTAATTTTCACGCTGACGATGTTTCCTTACTCGATTATTGTGGTGAACATTGTTTTAGTTGTTTCAAGTAGGAAATGACGATGTTTTCTAACCAGATGTGTTGATTTGTGACAAATTGAGTTGATTACTGAATTAAATTTATATAATTAAAATTAAAATTATGATTATTTTTAAGCTATAAAACAAATTATGGACATCATTTTGAACCCCTCAAGAGTTCTCTGCCCAAATACAATAATCTTCATCAACACTTTGAAATTTAAAAAAAAAAAAGCATCAGAATTTTTAATTCAAAACAGAATATTTAGAAGCATAAACTTCAAGAAGATTTTTTCATTAATTATACTTTAATTAATGAAAAATTAATTAGACTTCACTAATTAAAAGAGGTTCTTTTTCATTAATTAGACTTCATACTTTGTTTGAACATTTCCATACAACATTTTTAGTCGAACCAAATTCAATTTGAACATACATTGGTATAGATTGGAGAAACATGAATAATATACATCAAAATGCTTTGTTTCCTAAATGACTCTCTGCCAACTCATATGGTAGTCACAGAACAATTAGAAAACGACATCAGGAAAACATACCTGATGATGTATAATGAAGTATAGAAACTCATCTATTGGAAGACCTCTCTCTACCCAGCCATGTCATTTTTAAAAAAGAACAGCAGCTAAAAGAATTAAAAAAAAAAAGAAAAGAAATTGACCTACAAAGTCGATCCAAATACGAGACCATATATTAGCAGATAGACATACTAACGTCTTGAAAATCTTTTCAATGTCTTCACACTCTTAGCAGTGTTCTTCATACAACTGTAAGATTCATTTAGATTTAGAAACCAAACATAATTTGACAAATCATGAATTCAAAACGGAAATTATTAACTATAAAGCTTTATCAACATATCTATACACACACACACACGAGTTCATATATGAAATTATGTGATAAATAACCTACATCTAACAGAAGCTGCAACTTGAATTTTCCCGTCTCTATTAAATGCAGCATTAACTGAGGTTGTGCCAGTAACTAAGCTTCTGAACTCATTAAGATATCCCTTAGTGAAGAGGCTTAGAAACATTTAATTACTCTTCAGACTTTTAAGTAACGTTAATAAATTGCCCTTACATGTATAGAATTTGATCAGGAACAAAGATTTGATGGTCAAGCAAACCTCTAAAGATATATCAAGGAGAGTGTTAAGGGTATGGAAGCAGACATTAGGGTAGATAACGACCTCATGATGAACTCAACAATCTCAGAAATCAAGAGAAACAGCATATTTCAGACATCTAACAACTCTCTTATATGGTTGATGCTACTATAGCTTTTAAGATTGACCAAACAAAAGTAATGACCCACATCACTTCGCCTAGGCACATTTCCAAGCATGGACTGGAACATGCCTTCGTTGATGAATGAAAGCAGGATCATTACCGATGACCTCCTTGAACATCAGTGCCTCTGTGGTCTCTGTCTCATTACAGTCCCTTCACTCTCTGCTTTTTTAAGTTGATTTCTACTGTTTGTATTTTTTTGATGCTAGGTTAGTCAAAATATGGAGTTCTTTTGGCTCTAATTTGTCACTTTATCTTTAAGTAGGATTTCTGACAAAACTAATAGACTTAAAGGTAGAATTAGACGCTCTATGTATTATTACTGTGTATATTTTTAAGTTATTTTGTTGATAGCTATAAATTGCTGCAATATCTATTTAGTCTTTGATACCATTGAAGTTTTTAGATAAATGCAAGAAAATTCACTACGTTTAGAATTACTATTCAAAACTGTGAAAAACTATAAACTGCATGTCAATCATATCAAACTCACAAATCAAAAAAGAAAAAGAAAAACTTCATCCGACAAAAAACCTAAACTTAAGTAGGGTTTCCTTAATGATAATTGGAGCGAGAACATGAGGCTTTCAAGTTATATGAAAGTACGATTCCAATAGAAGACCATAGGATCATCTACAAACTAATAAAGATAAGACACATGAGGAACAAGTAATCCTAGATCGTTTCTCGAAAGCAATATCCACTGAACTAAACAAAGAAAAGAGATCAAGAATCCAAAATACGACCAAAAGAATTCAAAAACTACTTGTAATACATGAAATGAAGAAAAGAAAAACTAAACCTCACACATTTACCAGGATCTTGTGAGAGTAGGGTTACATTTTAAGAAAACCTATATCATCCTTTCTAAAGATCGTCAGAGGAGGAAACACTATTTCATGGATAAACAATTGTATACCTTATTAGGATCTTGTGGAAGTAGGTTACACTACGAGACGACTTGATCATCAAAGATGGACAAAATAGCAATTCCCAATGAGCCCTCTAAAGAAAGATCCATAGACTTAAATGGTGAGGGTTACCAAAATCTTCGTGAACTAAGGTTGTTTCAGGAGAGGGTCTGAATAATCCCTCAGCCATCAAAGATAACCAATATGCATAGACAAGAGGGAGAGAGGTCAAGAAACCCTGCATCACAAGGGAAAACTACCGGACCTTATCGGGATCTTGTGGAAGTAGGGTTCCATCATAAAACAATCGTTCGCGATCAAAGAATCGGCAAAAGAGGAACGATAGAACCATAGATGGATCAAACGATCCTTCGAAAGAGAAATGATAAAGCTAGAAAACAACCGTTCGTCATTAAAGAATCGGGAAAAGAGGAACGATAGAACCATAGATGGATTTAATGATCCTTCGAAAGAGAAATGATAGAGCTAGAAAACAACCATTCGCAATCAAAAACTCGGCAAAAGAGAAACGATAAAACCATGGATGATACTAATGATCCTTCTAAATAGAAATGATAGAACTAAAGGAGCGAGATAAAGATCAAGAAACCTATATCCGGCGTCATCTTCTTGTCCTCGTTCCGCTCTGCTCCGGCCGAAGGGGACAGAGGAGGAACTCATCGGGTTGGTCGGCGCGCTTCCCCCACCATCTCGTTTATTTAAGTTGAACTCATCGCGGCCACGTCGACGTGGGACCATCATGAATCTTGACATTCATTTTTAGCCATCTGATCTGGTTCAAGTTCACATGATCGTGTCTATATATATATATATATATATATATATATGTATGTATGTATATATATGTATGTATGTATATATATGTATATATATATATTTATGTATGTATATATATGTATACACATATATGTATGTATATATATGTATACACATATATATATGTATGTATGTATGTACGTACATACGAAAATCAAGATGCACATCGTATAATTGATGTTCAAATCAATCTGACCAAATAAGAAATAGATTTAAATAAGAAATAGAGAGAGCAAAGATAAACTGATCTCAATCCTTCGAAGATGAAGAAATCCAATTAGTTTATGATGATGGCCTTTGTTTCCAAGATATTTGGGTGATGACTATAATGGCCGTAATGGATCGATAAGGATGGCATATAGCGCATCGGGTGGGCAGTGGGCACTACGAAAACAAATGCCCGGAGACTTGAAAGATTGTATCGACCGGCTGAAGCTTTTGCCTTTTTAATCCAAGGCATTATTATTGCTCAATTTTGAGTACTTGCACTAATAAGACAAATTTGGACTCAATAATCCAACAGTGTATTATCGACAAGCATGAATTCCAGATGCTTCCAACAAATGACAAACCCAAAGAATGTTCCCTACCTGCACCAGAGCTCAGGAGAAAGAACTCAGCTGCTGATCAAACTGACAAGTTGCAGCTTAAAAATATGATTCAAGTTTTCGAGTAAACGAATAACATCAAAACATAGATTAATTTTTCAAATGATGGTGACATTTGCATATTAGTTTAGCTTATGGACTAACCTATGACTTCAATGGGACATCCATATCTCAAAAACCCAACACATCAACACCACTTGGCCCACAGAGTAGAAGGGTATTTCAAAAGATGCTACACTTATTATAAAAATAAAAAACCTTATCCCCAGACATGGCGAAAAGGTCGATAGAAATACAGCTGTTTTTCCATGCAGCAGACCCTAATTATAGTAAAACCTAACCTCTCTCTCTCTCTCTCTCTCTGATTTTTTATAGTTTTAACTGCCCCCTCCAGGAACGATTGCCTTTTCATTTAGTCACTCCATATGTCCGTTGTGTTGTCCTTTCTTTTTCCTGGTATTTTTCAACACTTCAATGCCCACATCTTTATTTGTTTTCTTGTCCTATGAGACGACGAAAAAAGAGACACAAATATCTGTTTGGAAAATACAATGATCTAGTGTAGCAAATTCAGCTCAACAACGATGAGCTGGACATCCTCATGATGCGAAAAATGAGCTGAAATCAAGAGATATATATGCAATATGGAAGATTCACCTGCGGCATGAACCATCCGATACGAAGAATTGATAATCTGGATGATCAACATGAAGGAGTCGCAGCCAGTTGTCTGCAGCTTGCAGTAGGGAGACTCTGAGTTGCCTCTCACGTCCTTCTGTATTAGTCCATAATGAGTTCTTGAACTTGTAGGATGCTAGACCAAAGGCAGGAATGGAGATCTTTGGAACACAGTTATTATCCTTGGGATAGGTCATCATGGGCAGAGCCGCAGCAGCAGCACCTAAATCAGTCAGATTTGCTCAGGACTATTTGCTGGACACATAAATTATATAAACTTCAAAAATAGCTTATAGAACTTACTGACAAAGAAAGTATTAGCAGCAAATACAGACATGGTACACTTCACATAGGAAGGATTTGTTATTATAGATAATTTAGTTTCTTTTGATTAACAAGATCCAAAATCTCTGTGTAACAAGATATGTGGCTCTGGAAACATAAACCAGTGTGATGTATGAGCTAGTGATTGCTGAAGACTTCTGCAACATTGTACTTATGGGCTGCACCTATTAGTTTTGCCAATGCATACAGATTATAACTATGATATTGATTTTAAAAGACCTTCACCATTTAGGATGGCTTGAATTTTGTTTCTCCAGTTGCTCAAATCACTAGCTTTCAAGCTAAACATGCAGAATATACTCTAAAAACACATTCAGATTAACAAACAATAAAAGTTACCTTTAATTGGAGTGGAAAGTGAATGGTAAGTCAGAAAGCAAGCATCCAAATCCTTTAGTGTTTGTCCAATTGGAATGCGATATATAGGATACCTGCAAAATCTCCAAGTTGTGGTTTCTTTCTTCTTCCAAACTAACATAAAATATTTAACTTATGTCATATCTTACCAAGCAACAGAAATCCAACTTGCTGGCAACAAATCATAACTTCTAAGCGTCCTCAGTTCAGGGAACTGACATGCAAGATCTAGCACCTGGAATGAACCAGGATGAGTGCTAGCAATGAATATAACATTATAGCAGAAGCAATTGGGTACAGCTTGCCTTGTCAGCTAGAGGTTCACGATGATAAGGAGAATCTTGTTCAAGGTATTCAAAGAGTAGGCAACCTTGAGAGTTTTCAGCATCACCCTCATCACTTGAAGACCCTTCTTCTAGCGAGAAATGTTCACCATGGCTACTTCCATCACTAGTGGAATCCTGGTAACAGTCATTATCACTCTCCTCCTCTCGCCTCATATTGCAGAATAGCCTGGAAAACCAAATCTCATGAATATATATGAACATGTTTAAAAAATGGAGTGTAAAGAAATGCAAAAGTAAATATATGATGCTTCATGATTAAACATACTAAAGACTGGAGGTGTTAAAGAAAGAAGAAAAACTTTCAAATGAATCGTCATCATATATCCAAAGTATTCAACATATAAGCTGTTGAACTTAAAAATTTTCATTAATTGATAAATTTGAACGTTTCCTCCAAACAAAAGGGATACTTATCTAGATGTGCAATATCTACAGACTGTCATGTGAAGCAACCACAATTTTGATGAACGTTAGTGTGGAAACAATGTTTTGCACTTCTCTAACAGACTATGTTGATGGTCTTGTATTTCAGCTGCAAGCTGGCATAATCCAGTTAGTGAGTCTCTCAGTGTTGTACCTACAGTTTGTACCATATCCTACCCATTCATTTTGTACAATGTTTTGTAAAAAAGGGTAACCTTGGATCTGCAAAACGTCGAGTTTTGCAGATTGCCAGCAGTCCAAGCCCACTCTATACTTACCATCTATATTATATGTTGGTCTCCAGCACTGAATTTGATCATTTAAAAGTATGTCAATAGACTATAATTAGGCCCATCTAATCCAAACAAAACTCTAATGATGACTTAACTCCAGACATGTAGATCCTGAACAAAACTATGCAACTGGATCAAATCTAGCCATCAACCAAGCCAACTAAAATCCGTTACAAGTATACTGAACTTGTTAATATTTTCATCCACAGCTCACCTTTCTCATGCCAAAAGCAAAAGGCTCGTTTTGCAAATATACTCTTGAACATCCAAAAACTGAAACCATTCTGATGTATCTTTAGAGCTTAAGAGCTAATTTTCGAAGAAATAGAAGCAAATCAAGAAAGGAATGGTTAAATTAATAGACATACTGAAATAAACCTTGAAATGGCCATGGATGCAACAAGTAAAACTGTCATATTTATAAGATCCATAACTATAAAATCAAACAGTATTACAATATTATATAATTAATCCAATCATGTGACCTTTTATTCCTTGCAATACGGGTGACCAAGTTCCAAGATACGGAAACAACCTCTTTACCAGGATGACTAATGCTGTATATATTAACCCTACCCAAGTCTTGTATTAGAGGAAGCCTCATGCATTGGGTCATCCATTTTCATGTACATTGACTCCACTGAAGTCCTGTATTGGAGGAAGCCTCATGCGTTGGACCACTTTCATGTGCATTGACCGCACCTAAGTCCTGTATTGGAGGAAGCCTCATGTGTGGGGTGACCCATTTCCATGTACATTGACTCTACTCAAGTCTTGTATTGGTGGAACTCTCATGCGCTGAACCATCCATTTTGTTTCTCAATGTCCTTGTATGTTTAGGATCTTCACATAATTACTCATGGCAGATACTGATGCAAAAAACATATAGATGACTTAAGTCACTTAATAATTGGAATTCTGTGACATGATGAATTGTAAACTTCGTTACCTATATACTTTCTTTAAAAGGGCTACACATGTCAAATCATGACCATTTTAGCATTAGATACCACGTCTATCACTTGTGAGTAATTTCAAAAGGCAATATTTGTTCAACAACTCCAATGGTCTGAATCTGAACTTGATTCTTAATAACATCCTTCATGTCATTCTTTATCATAAAATTAGAAACTAATTAGTTCTATATAATTCAAGTGAAATGAATATTCAGCTCTTTAGTAAGGGAAGCAACAACTACTTTTTGTGCTAGGAGCAAAAATCAGAGTATCGGGGTAAACACTAACTTTTACACTTCCCATTACTTCTTCCTAACACAAATTACGGTGCAAACAGACTTTAGTTGCAACACGGACACCATATTACTAAACTTGGCTACTAATAACAGAGTTCATAACACAATCACAGCTGCAGTATTAGAATCATCCAAGGGTTACGATGTAATATGACGAGCACAACATGACAACTAGATTTTGGGGGAATATAAAGGTTATGTATCAATTCGGTAGGCTGGAACAAACAATGATCTAAGATGCCCCTCAAATGTGATCATTATACCTTACAGCTTGCAACCAACATAGCTGTGACACATCATACAGTTATTGCAGTTTTGACAGAGCACCTAGGACAGACTCTAGAGTCCGATATTGGTATTCCACATAAAGTACAACAGGTTTAGCAAGCAATAGTGAAATCAACAGATTCTTTAAACTGCTTGATCTAATGCCAATGTCATATTTGCTGCATGTGAGAAGTGAGTTGGAAGTAACATCAAACTGACAACAATATCAAATAATTTCATCAAATGAGAGCATAAGAAGCAGAAAATTATCGCTACAAGGTTACACAAAAATTCAAGATCTATCCAAATTTAAAGGTTTTCATGGACAAAAGTGATGGATGGAACTGCTGACTTAACAGCAGATGAAGTTATAATTTTAGCAGTTAAGATGGAGAAATTTGTAACGTTTGAACATCTGAGAGTTTTAGTTCAGACAGTCCACGGAAGGAAAAGAAAGAAATCACGAGAAGGACTAATATCAATCAAGGTTTATTTGACTTTCAGGTTAAGCATTCAGTAAGATTTGCAGTTCTCACAGTAGAACCGATAGCCGAGAGTTCAATTTTATGGCCCACCTTAATTGTTCATTCCAAAATCTAGCTGTATTTCTTGAGAGATTAAGCAATAATGTTCTCCAAAATAACAAATCTAGAATGCATAATCCTTCCTTATATGTGCAGCTTTGTTACTATATCCACCAGAGATTCAAATACTAAAGTAGATAAAGTTGGTGGAGATCATATGGCAAGAAACTGAGACTGCTGATTATTTTCAGACATCAACATGGATGCAATTTAAACACAAACCATATGGTACTTAAAACTAAATCTTCCAACCATAAATCATGGACTCCATCTTTTCGTTTCCGCTAGCAGCTAAATAAAGTAAATAGAAAATAAAGCTGACATGAACAGATCAAAGTACTCTGGGAAAAAAATGGACAATACCCAGTGCTTATTCCTTGCTTAGTTGCTTCACCGTACAACTGAATACCGGACAAGGAAGGCACATAATACTGAACAACACAATCTCCGCTATCCAGGACCAAAGGAATGCTAACACCGTAAGCACTCCACTCCTGGAATGAATCCCACAGATCTCCGAGGATAAAGTAAGGCCTATACTCCACGTTGCAGGTCCTCCAATCCCTCATCGTCGTCTATTAATCGTACATGGAAGCGAAAATTTACCAAGAAATATTAAGAAGAATACTAGAAACTGGATGAAAGAGGAGAAATCGGAAACCTTCGGCAGGTAATGAGCCAGAACAGATGGAGTGGTGGACTCCAGGAAGCGGTCCAGATTACAAGCATCCGCCGCCCGTGCTGAAGATGAAGACGATCGGTCCTCCAGCTGCCGGCGGTCTCCGACCACGGGCTTGTCCTTGAAGGCCGGCAAAAGAGCGGGGTTTAAGAAAGCAGCGGATGCGGCGGCGGAGCTCCGGGTCCTCAACGAGTTCTGGTGATGACCCCGGAGAGCCATGGCAGCGGTGTAGAACCGGTCCTCCCCATGCCGGCGGCCGAGCTGCAAGCTCGACCCCAGCATCGCCTTAAAACGCTAAAGCCTCACAAAAACCCTAATCCGATCGGAGAACGAAGGGTAATCTCACGGGGTTGGTTGGTTCCGGCCAAAAACCCTAAGGATTCGATCGAAACAAAGAAGAATGGAAGAGTGCAGGCAAGGAAGGCTTCTAGAAGGGAGACGGTTCCTCCGAGCAGTCAAGGGTTTTACATGTTTGCCACTTTAAATCCTAAACGAATCATATTTTCGAAGATTAAGATACTCTTATAAATTAGTATTAAGTGAACTGAAACGATTGGGAGTATTTGGGATGGGTACGGATAGCACCGCGCGGGACCCACCTGAGTTATCTCAGTGGCCGAACGGCGAGTGCGTGAGAGCGCGTGGGCAAGTAGGGAGTGGTCGGTTTTGTTTACTCGGAGGCTCCCTCTCGTCGCGCCAGAATTCGTGAGGATGACGACGGGAAGCGAGGCTCTGCCTCCGTCGGTCAACGTTCTCAACTTTGACTTGGAAATTTCTACGCTTCGACGTCTATCGATCAGTATATCTCTGCAAAAATCGAGCAAAAAAGGATAAATAAATGAATGTCATGCGATAGATATGAGAAACACACCGTCGTTAGTAGTATTCAGCTCCTCGTTGAACATATGCCAAAGCATCAAATGTTCATATTAAATAGTTCCGTCATTTATAAGATAAAATTACTGACCTGACGACATCGAATTCGTCTTTTAACGAGGCAATGACTACTCTTATCATGGTAATATCTGCTGTTTGATCTGAGGTTACTTAATGCTCATCATAAGTATTTAAGGTTTCAATTTAAATATAGATGAAGATTCACCGGTAGCATCAAAGAAAGCAAAGAATCCGGTGGCCACACCATAATTGAAACTAGCTGCAAACCAAGTATATTAATTATCTGGGATCTAAGTGTTGCAAAAAGACCAGGTGTGCAGATGTGAAATCATTTATAACCATGCAATAAATATGCGTCCATATTATGTATGGTTCTACATGTAGAAACAAGTGTCTAACTTAATGCAGGAGTAATGAAATATGAGTCATTAGTATCTTATCATATGTCACAAACAGTTCCAACGTTTAGTGGAAAGGGAAACGTCAATTTGTTTCACAACATGGCACATTCTGGTTTCTGACATCTATGGCTATCCTCTTAACCAAGTGTTCCTGTATGATGAGTTATCACGCAGAGAAGCATCATGCGGCTTGTATTCCATTAGGTAGCTATGCGGCAGTTTTAGGTGTCGCTTGATGGAGTCCCTCAGGGCCATCACCGCCTGGTGATACAAAATGTATGTTATAAACTAGAATAGGATTAACATTTATAAGGTCAATTTGATGAAGATACAGAACCTTGTGGTCTGATGCATTCCGATTCCAAACACTTAAGATATCCTCATTGAAACGAATGCTCAGTACAGCACCACAGACGTCATCCCCATAGTCAAGTTGATCACCAACTAATGCCAATACCTACAAATGGATAGACTAACAAGTATATTAGAAGCTCAGATAACCTTCTTCAAAACTCAAGGATCTCGTGAAAGAAGAATCTTGATATCGTAGAGACAGAGTTTCAAGTTACCTATCATCATCATGTTTAAAAATTAAATAATAATTGCAAGTACAATCTTCACCTAGTATGAAAATAGTTTTACGGATAGATGCCACAAAAAATGCAGATCTGAAAATCCTACGACACTTACCAAGCAGCAGATCCATTAATTAAGCACATAACAAGATCGTATGGTTCAGTTTTGTTGCTATTCATTATTTTTACAGGTGTGTTACCTGCGTTCAAAAGCCTTGGTAGCTCTGATCAAGTATGCAATGTACTTCAATCAGAATTCAAGGATGTAACATCCATCAAACATGTCTGTAACCCTTACAAGAATAAGCACATGCTACGGACCGATCAACAACAATACCTCTTTAAATTTTCACATATTGGCATATATATCGTATTCCAAGGTCACAAGGAGAGATCATTTAGGCCTTACTGGCATTTGGTTGTATGACAGTGACATGTATGGTACATATTTCAGTAAACCATGATCAGGTAAATTTGTGTCTTTTGCCTCATGGAACTAATGGCTTCCATGATCGGGCTTTTGTCCCCTCATCCTTGGGACAACTATAGTTCTAGAACACAGTCATCGAGGCTGCATTGGACCCCAAATGCATCATGAGCACCCCACTTAGACCTAATATACATTGTGAAGGACTATGCAGTCTAACCATGTCCAACTGCCAAAAAATGCATTGTTATGATTCATTTCCTTCATCAGATGTCCCATGATTAGTAGTCCATCAAATCTTGATGTATTATTTTTAGTTATTACTTCACTAGTAAGTTCTTAATTATTAATATCATCCAAAAAATTGTTTATGATTTTAATACATTAATGGATCATAGTTTATAAGTTTTCTTTTAATATTCCATCAGTCTCTTAACTTTCTACAAAATACATTCGTTTTTTTAAACCTTAAGGACAATATGCTATAAATGTTCTGGTCGACATGGCACCATGACATAGGTTCCACATGCAATCAGTATATTACGGTGGGTAGATTGCAGCTTACATAGTGTTACAGGTAGCAAATTATTAAGTGAAGATATAAACCAAAGCTAGAAATTGAAACTCAAATAGAGAGTAAAAAGAAACTACAGGCAAGAAACTATGATAAAAAACTATAACAATGCCTAGATCCATAAAAGCTGATGAATGAACACTCTTGGTTGACGAAATTCACAATACAACTCCAACAAATTACCTCAAAATCCATCAAGGTTCTCTAGGAACTTATCAAAGATGTAGAGAAATCTTCCAAACAAAGAAAATGACAGTTGTATTTGAAGAAACAAAGTATTTATTTCCCTCGACAGAGTGCAACGCAAAAATATAAGGTGATAGATGTCACTAAAGATTTGGAAGTGGGGGATGAAGAGTCTAGGAGTTTTAATAATCAGTTGAACCTTCTCAAAAACTGGATGTCAGATCCTTCCATGAGATTCTGAACTTACAGTGTCATATTTTTAATCTAGTTCCTTCAAATATTAATATAGAGGGATCAGCATCTTACTAATTATATTCAGATTTGATTGACCTTGACAATGACTGAAATCTCGAGCATCAGGTGAAGCTATCTAAATTTCTGTATTGTATCTTCAAAAGTTTCTTGAGGAAGTGTGGTTGTATAAGTGCAGACCAGCTAAAAACTTTGATGCTGCCTTCTAGACTATGGATTTCTCAGGATGCATACAGTGGGTAATATTCTCAATGTCTGATTAACCTAAACATCTAAACAATTCAAGGACTTTTCCATGAAATTCTGAACATCCAAACATCTGATGAAGTCCAAAGTCAGCACCTTCCATGAAATTCCACAAGCTTGAAGATTATACTTCTGATCTAAGATCTTCTGAAAGCTTTATTCTCTGTTGAGTTTAGGAATGTTTATATTAAAAGCTTAATGATTGTCCTAGTAAGTCTAACCCTCTTGTTTAATAAAACAGATTAAACGTGATATAGTACCTTTCTTTTTCATACATCAAAGTAATTATAAAAGTGTCCTTGTTCTTCTTGTCACATATTTAATTTGAGAGCATAAACTGCTAAAAGAGCATGACTGCGTTGAATTGAGTTACTGTGGACAACCAAATTAACATGAACAAACCTTCTACACTGTAAATTGGGCTAAGCCCACTCAAAAGGGGGTTCGTCATTCCGGGTACCAGACCCATCTTGGAGATTTGTCGATACGGTATATACCGGTCTGTATCGGTGTACCAACACATGGTACACCAGAACATGCCGACAGAGACTCAAGCAAGTCATACCGGTACATACCACCCGTACCATACCAACTCGGGCAGTACAGCGAACCTTGCTCAAAACTACAACATGCTTGCAAAAGGTTGAGGTCAGACAACTTTAACTACAGCTGCCATGATAGTGCATAAGTCATCCAAAGCCAAAACAACAATTAATCTAGGGAAAATCTCAACTTAATCCACTCAAACTGGACTTTGAGGGGGGAAAAAGGGAAAAGGAAGAGGATCACTTTAAGTTCACTTAACTGCCATCACATGATTAAAAAATTTCAGCCACATGCTAATGAAGGCGTGCATTTCAGTAAGGTGGACCTTAGGATACAATACATAAGAACATGACTTTTGTGGCAAGAGAACAGAAATGGGTACCAAAATTGGTTAAAAGAAAAACCTACATGCGTTCTTTTAACATTCAGGTTTATCAAATGGGTAACAAGCTGTGATCAGCAACGGGGCAATCATGTGTTATGAACAAACTGTACCAACAAACAAGATAGGAACAAAATGTTTCCAGCACAAAACATGAATAGGTAAAAGAAACAACAAATCTATTTCACTTACCAAGTCTTCCCAGAAACGACCTGAAACTACTTTCTTGAACCGTAATATCCACTTGCCACCATTACAGTTTGCAGCATCCTGAACAATTTAAACTACCATTCAGCAAAGAATATCTTTAAAACAACAAAAAAATTATAACTTAGTTTCTTGAAGTTGTCTTCAAGGTTATTAAACACATGGAAGGGGAAAAAAAAAACAGAGAGCCCCCTACTTGCACTATGACAAAAAGGAAAATACCTCCCACAGAGGCCTAATGCCCTCTTTGAAAAGATGGAGATCTGTTGGGCTCGGGAGTGATGAAGAACGTGCCAGATGGCAATAGCAAACCCAAAAAGCTTCAACCTACAAATACATCATGTTCGCATGCCAACCATGTTAGAGTTCCACCATTTGAAATACCATCATAAGAATAAAAATTGCGGCATCCTTCAGCATGTGTGCAGTACAATCATGTTGAAGTCAGGTAACGTACAGTACTGAATTCCACAATTTTCTTGATGTTATCCTCGTATGATGTCTGCGATCGCACTCCAGGTGTTCGTCGAGTATACCAGAACACAAACTTATGCTGAATGAAAACAGAAAACCCTTCATTATCTAGAAGAAAATATAAAATTTGGATAAAAAACTCAAAGATTCAGCAAAGGTCATCCGAAACAAATAGCAAGAACATCAAACTAGCAAAAATCATGTGATTACACTCGATAGAACTCTCTCAGTTTCGTAAATAACAGAAGTGCTAGGTAACAATCTGAGACTAGATTTGCGTCCACATTTAATTTCTAATTCACTATCCACCCAAAATTCTCTGAAATTTCAAAGCCTCAATCCATAATGGACCAATTACAAGACGATCACTACGATAAAAAAATAGAACTCAAGATCTTCAAGCAGCTGAGGTCGATGCCCAGAGTAAACCACGTCAGCCAGACTATACTGGTCTCGAGTGCTGCTTCCGTATCCCCAACATATCAGTAATTCCTACTCAGAAGAGACCTCTTCTCTCTTCACAGAGGACAAGCACTCAAACGACCGAATGCAAGATAAGCTCTAATCCAGTTCTCATCGGCCAATAGATAACCTAATCAACTCACATATCACTAGAAACCATACCAATCGAGAACAAACCAGAAGAACTAATATTGCTCATGTCGGACTGCAAGCGACATCGTGGCAACGAGGGCCGGCAAATGGAAAGATGCGATCGAAGGGGTACCTTTAAGGGATGGAGTCCAGATTTGATCTCGCGAGAATAGCGCTCCCGTTCCTCCATATCGCCCTCCGCTTCGACGGCGGCAGAGGCGGCGGTGGCGGAGGGAGGGGGCGAGGCGGAACCCTTGGTTTCCGCTTCCTCGGCGGACTCCATCGTACTCGTATTATCCGGTCGCGTCTTCTTCTGAGCAAAAACGCCTTGGATCGGTCTCTTCTGTTGCCTCTCCCTTCCCTGTGGCGAAGAGAAGTCCGAACGGAGGGACGCGACCTGTGGTGGGAGGCGCACCGACGAGGGTTTGGGTCGCCTGCCGAGATCTGTGCCAACAGTAAACGCATTTATCGTTTCATTTATTCACATACACCCTTGTTATAAAAGATATTTATACTATATATTCTCGGTAGACAAAAGAAAACGTTTTTTGTTTTCATATATTACTCTCATAGAAGTCACTAATTTGCGCAGACACCCTTCGAATCAACGAAAACGTGTACTTTGTTCTATTGCTCATACACCCTCGTACTACAAATATTCGTGTCTATATCCTAAGTAGAGCAACGTAACAATACTCATGTTTTCATAAACGCCCTCATGGCGAATGTAAATTCTTTACACTGACATATTTGCCAACTTAATACGATTTTATGTCCAACTCAATCTTATTGTTATAACTTTAATACTTTGATTTCAATTTAAATTATAAATCTAATTAAATAGCATAGAGCAAAAATATGATATTGCCACGTGGAGACACACTGCAGGCCTCGAGTTCTCGCTGCGATAGAATCCGACGTGTAAGCACGTCATTGGACGGATCATGCACTGAGATAAGGGAAGACGAATTGCCACCTTACGCGCCCCATCTCCTCTCACCTGCACGCTCTTCTTATCACTGCGAGCGTCTCAGCCACCAACCAGTTCTGTGACGACACCAGAGAGGAAGACATGGCATCGCTCACCATGATGGCTTCCTTCCTCGGTGGCGCCGCTAGCGTCGCCGACCGGGCATCCAGCACCCGCCGGCGGAGCGCCATGGTGGCCAAGGCGGCCGCCAAGACCCCAGACGCCGCGAAACCCGGTCACGAGGCTCGCGACGACGGAGGAAGTGCCGGGAGAAGAGCCGTGATGTTTGCCGCGGCTGCGGCTGCGGTGTGCGCCGTCGGCGGGCGAGGAATAGCGGTCGCCGAGGAGGAGCCGAAGGCGGGGACGCTGGAGGCGAAGAAGAAGTATGCCCCGATATGCGTGACCATGCCGACGGCGAGGATCTGCCGCAGGTGAGGCGCTCCATGGATCCATCAATTCTGTCGTTGACTGGTTGTAAGGAACGTTGACTTGCAGTGAACAGTCGATACTGTGTGTTCCCTGTAATCAATTTAACTTGGTTTTTATGAGCTCGATCGATGCTTCTGTAATTATTTGTCTGCACCCTGTTGTTTGTTGTTATGGCTTCGAAATGTTTAATTCAGTTTGGTCTCTGTCTAACTCGAGAACTGAGGAAACAAGAAACAACATTTTTACATAATCTCAAGTAATTATTTAATAAGGTGAAAACACTGATGAAAATTATATTAATTATTGATGACAGCATATATTTGCCACAAAAGCAGAAGAATATGATCATGAAATTTTATGTCATACTTCCTATCCACTGAAAGAAAGCATAGAGAAAATTATCTGAATATTTTTATAGTGTCTCCATACAGTCATACTTGGAAAGTACATAAATGAAGTATATGAGAACTTCATGTTTAACATAGCAAATACAAAGTCTCTGGATCAGCAACAGAGGGAATTTAGATGTTGGAAGCTCACAAGCATGGATCAAAGTACAAGATTCATGTTCTTTTGTTTAGACACAACAGTAAAGCTACTTAAGGCACTATCGTTAAGTTTTAACATTGAGTTTTCACAGTTGACATGAGCCTAAAGAACCTGAGAAACGATACAAAGTACCTGTAACATGACGACAAACCTGCAGAAGATACAAAGGGAAAGAAAAGAAAATGGAGAAGATAAAAGCCAAGAATGAATTGCCTGCAAGCATCAGATTTATCAATGAATTTCCCTTGAGAAGGCGGCTGAGCTTTCAGATCGCGCTCCTGCTGCTTTTGTCGACCAGAAAGTGAGGATCTGATGGGACCAAATTCGGAACAAGACAGTTTAATTCGTAGCGCAATGCTGCAAGCACCGTCCATCGCTCAACCCGGATCATCACTGTGTGGCGACAGCCCTACTAGGGGGCTGATTCACCAGGATGCCAGCTCGCTGCTTTCCTGCATAGTCTTCGTTTTGTGAAAACTGGGATCCAGACTGCTCTTGGTAGCCTTCTTTTCTACCAACAGATACTTTTGATTCGAGTTTTCCTTCCTGCATGATTCTCGATGGATCGGCATTACCAGAGCAATTGGAAATCAGTGAATTAGAGGAGATAGCTAATGGCATCAGAGGAGGTGAACTAGGATTTAACCCCTCGTGTGTCTCAGTTTTAGCAGCACCATCATCAGTCTTCTTTGTATTCAGAAAACGACCTCCACAACCCCGAGCTCTCCTCATTGCATGCAAGTGACGTGACTCGTGAAGATACGGCTGCAAATGTGAAGATATTAATTAACTCTTTCGATGGATGAAATGCTCCCATATATATATGGAAGATAAATAAATAATGGCCATTTAGGCCAGTTAAAAGGATTCAGAAATGTGCAATAAACGCTACCACGGGCCATATAAGAACATGTAGAGAAGATGAGAGACCTAGTATACCAAATGTGATGCACTTGAAATCGACTAATGGAGCTGGATGCAATTATCCACCAACAATGGAAAAAGTAATGTTTATATCAAATTATTTTAGATGGACCCAGTAAGTACAATATTAGTAGAAATTTAAGACTAAACACCGACAAGAGCATGCGAAATTTTAAAGAAGGCAAATCCCTGTGTAAGTTAGATGCTTAAAACAAAAAGATAAAACTTGATATGTGAAGGCGCATGACAAAATAACTTACACATGAAATGCCAAAAAAAAAAATCATCAAAAAGTAGAAGACTGACAATGCTTGCATGCCGAGAGTTCTCTCTTTCATTCACTCCTTCAATAGTAAATCTCATTTTGCATCGATAATGCTTGACAAACCAATAGTACTTCATAGACTTTCAACTTCAAATGTAGGAATGTTAGCTTCTTTTGGAAATGTGCAGTGCAGCCACAAATTTCAAAGTTCCACCAGAGCTAGAAGGATCCAGACTTCATGGAACCAGTAAAGAATAAGATACATGAAAGATGCCAATGATTCAAAACAACAGGAGGCCTGGACGGACCTAGTTAACGAATCAGTAGGTATGATTTAATTTTATGCTAAAATTAAGAATGAACCCTGATCAGAGGTTTGCTAGACTTGATTTAACTAAACTCTTCTTGGCCACAAGCATTATGAAGTAAGGCAAACTGATAGCAAGAGTGTGATAGGTGAGGGGATGACAAAGGAGAGATAGGCAACTAAACTCTTATTTGTACTTACAAAGCAAGGAGAATGTGGAAAAATAATAAACCTAATATCTTCCAAAAATCCATTCTAAAGAAATGTATAGAAACACAAAATTTCATGAATTCAAAGCCATCATAGCACCACAGAACCCCAATACTGGATCCTTATTTATAGCTCACAAAATTCTTAAAGACAGGAAGACTCCTCCAAATACCGTAAATATCATAAATCTAAAAATCCAATAAAATAGACATCTAGAACCCTTCAGACTTTGCTCGTGATAGCTTTGTGAGTCTTCCAAACTTGTATATAACCAAACTATGCCACTAAAGCCTAGTGATTTTGCTGATCACTTTAGAAATTGCACAAGAACCAAATTTGATTTTCATTCAGAAGCATTTGCAGAAGGCGGAAATACCTATACTATTGTGAATAGATAGCATCAACAAGGACATGCAACTAAGTCAATAACAGATATAGTTGTTACCCAAGTTACCAAATAATGAGCTAGGGGCTAAAGCACACATTTAAGGAATGAAATCTAGGAAAAGGAACAAGTATAACCAATGACACAGAAGCCTGAATATCAAACACATGAATTATGGCCTCGTAATAGGAACAAAAAATTCTTTGTACTTTGATATACAACCAAGTACACAAAGAACCCATGGAACCATCATGGTAAGTGCAGAAAGATTTACCTGTGAAAAGAGAGCAAGAGCAGTACAGGAGTTGTTGATAAACTTATTTAATTAATCACATGACATGATTCCAAATCCTACATATACTATAAATCACCAAATGCCTATTGTTTAAGAATTTAAGAGCAATTATGTGCATGCATCACATATCAAGGTTTGCATGAAGAACTATAATCAAATTATTGACTATAGGCTGTGCACTTGGAATATCTACTATTCATATGAAGGTTCTCATTTCAAATTGCCACTTGGAATAGCACTATTGCACACCCAAACACTTATTGCTGCACACTGGTGATCATTGTTACATAAATAACCCCATGTGACAGTTGCAGCACCTTTTTTTCTATATACTATGTAGCCCAAGAACTTTAGACAGCTAAATGTTTATGCAGTTGAAATAAATCATCAATAGGAGACTTTAACTCAAGAGCACCTATTCTACATCATATCGCCTCATTCTTGGTCAATGCAAGGTTTTCTTATCCATTATTGCAAGTTTTCCTATCCATTTAATCACACGTATGACCACAGAATTAGGGATTATGTCATTAAGCACATCTTCCTGGTACTTAAATCAAAGTTCGAGGTTGTTCGATAAAGAACAATGAAAAATAGCCAGATATGTGTGGAAAACATAATGTGACACATAACAAATACTTGAAAAGAAAAAAAGTATACTATAAATAAGAAAAAGAGGTAAATAAGTGGTTAGTAGCTTATTATTTCTTTAGTCAACAATGTTACCTTTCTAACTTTTATAACTTTCTTCTCAAGTTCAGCCTTCGCACGAGATTGTCTTCGTCGGAGTATTCCATGGTATTGCTTTGCATTAACATAAACTGGCTCCTCTGTCATTTCAAGAGGTAAAGGCATGCGAGGGTGAGGCATTCCTATAATCTGAGGATGCACCTGTAACATTTGACCCACATGCAACTAACAATAAGTTCTACTAAATGCTGGCATTTAGAACTGTGTAAACAGGTTACAAACTTAAAATTTCCATACTCAATAGGACCGTAAAAATAGAAGGAATCAAGAATTACTTCAGTGTCAACAAATATAAATGTAAAAGAATAC